GTGGAAAAACCTTTAGAGAAAAAATAGTGTTTGGAGGAGCTGAGGGGGTGAAACCCAGTCTCCCTAAAACTGAGTTCCCCTACTGGGTTTATGATCAGTCTCTCTGTCCACAACTTTATTCCCTTTCTTGTCTCCTGATAAAAGACATTTTCATATACTGAGATATAAAGAAGTCATTCTGGCTTATACATGTGTTAACTTGAACTTCATGCTAATCAAAACAGCCTGTTTATGGCCTATCAGACATACACTGTACACCTGCTTTAATTTTTATAGAAAAAAACACACTGACCGTAAGTAAAGAATGTTGATGTTAAAATAAAGATTAAATGCCTATCTTACCAAGGATGCCAGTCCTGGTCCTCCTTCGACGATACGACTCTTTTTCCAGGTGCCAAGGCCATGCTGACTCACTGGATATGTGCTGTTTGTTTTTTTAAACCTTGAATAAATGTAATCCTGATTGGTTTAATGTTCTTTGTTCTGACAAGTATAAAACTGCTGAAAATCCTGTTTCTCCGGAGCCGTTTCTCAAGAGTAATCTGGAAAGTGGGCTTACAGGCTAGTCCTCGGTGTGGCTTAAATAAAACTCTTTTTCTATTCTTATAGTTTATTGATTATTTTTTTCAATACCTCTCTGACCTAAATCCTGGGCTAACTGAGCACTAATCAGAGTCAGATGACTGAGGTTGCTGTTGTGGACAACATCGTTATTAAAGGTAATAAAGGTAACATCCTTAAAAAGGTAAACAGTAATAAAATTGCTGTTGTAGATATTATTAACAAATAAACTCAAGTTGTTTCTCCAGGGCACGATGAACTCATAGACCTTGAGCCATAGACCATCTAACCAGAGAATGTTAAAAACACAGTCTGACTCCTAAAACTACAATTAATTCTTGTTACAAAATGATGATTAATCTCAGTTTCTTTGTTCTTCACTCTTAAAACATCCCTAACTCAGACACCAATATGAAGTGGATCTGTGACTTGCCTCCCACTCCCTTGCTTGGTACCCTACAAATAAACAATTACTTTGCTGCAAACACCTGCTGTTAGAGTTTGGCTTTCGGCACCTCGGGCACACAGCTGGGTTTCAGTTTGGCAATACTGGTGCCCTCCAAGGCCCATTGCTGGGTATTGGAGAACGGATTGGATTTAATAAGAGCCTAAGGTTGCTCTTGGAATTGATTTGACTTTTGTCTTGTGTGATGTGAGTGTATATTTGTGTTAGAGAAGATGCACTATTTTAGTTGGCGAACAGGGGGGGGATGTTCAGGCTCCTAAATATACTCCTTTCAGATGCATCCTACAAAACTGGACTACCTTTAGTTCTGGTTCTCTGACTAAAGGGAAAAAGTTTTTTTTTTAATTTTTTTGGTAACACTGCTTGGCCACAATATTCTCGAGACTCTGAAGAAAAATGCCCACAACAAGGCTCATTTGACAATCCAAAACTGGTTTTGCCAACTTAATAAAACATTTTCTTTAGAATTCTGACCCCACGGGAACAAGTCCTTCTAGAACTTGCTTTTCTTTCCCTGTGCCTGGAGATGTAAATGCTCTACCAGGGCTCTCAGGAACTCATACCTTATCTAGACCAACTCTAATTCTTGAGACTTGGGGATGGGGGAAGAGGCCTTTTCATTTTAATTTATTCCAATTGTTAGTTATAAACTAGTGAGTTTTATATTTTAATACCTGATTCACAACTAAGTTTTAAAATGAAGCTATGAGAATCTCTGTCTGGATGTATGTATGTAACATGTGAATTATAAGTGTAAGTCTTTACCCTTTGATAGTCTTACCAAAGTTAATTTATAAATGGGCTCTATTTAATTGGCTTAAAGGAAGTTAAACACTTTTATAAATTCTCAGAAATATAAAACAAATCAACCCAAATGAATTTCTGGTTCACATGATCTGGGAAATATTCAATAGTAAATTAATATCTGGTATTAAAGTTAGTTTAAGCTTGTTGGGTTAATACAGACATGTCTATTTTTATTTTTAATTAAAGTTATTGCTTAAAAAACATAACCATCATCTGAGCTTTCAGCAAGTTGTAATCTTTCTGCTGGTGGAGGGTTTGAAATATTGCCAGAATTACCAAAATGTGATGGACACCAAGTGAGCAAATGCTAATGGGAAAATGGTGCCAATAGACTCGTTCAACACAAGGTTGCCACAAACCTTCATTTGTGAAAAAAAAAATAATTTCTGCAAATACAATGAGGTATGCCTGTAGTTGCTTGCACAGCAACAGCGTGCTGTATGTGATATTATCTGCACTTTACAGATAGAGAGAGTCTCAGCACATTAGACAACTCATTGAAGGTAATTTTTTTTTAAGAGAAAGCAGTAAGTTGAAACACATAAACATTCAGAAAAAACATTTAAATTTGTGCTGGTAATTAAAGAAATCTAAGTTAAAACCTCAAAGCACCATTTTTCACTTATTTTTTATTTTAAAAATTGAAGTATAGTTGGTTTACTATACAGTGTTAGTTTCAAGTATACAGCATAGTGATTCAGTATTTTTACAGATTATACTCCTTAAAAATTTATTACAAAATCATGGCTATAATCCCCTGTGGTGTACAATATATCCTTGTTGCTTATCTATTTTATACAGTTTATCTCTTAGTCCCACATCCCTAATTTATCCCTCCCCCTTCCCTCTTCTTTGGTAACCACGAGTTTGTTTTCCTGCGAGTCTGAACCTGTTTCTGTTTTGCATTTGCATTCACTTTATTTTTTAGATTCCACATATAAGTAATATACAGTATTTGTCTTTCTCTGTCTTAATTTACTAAGCATAATAACCTCTAGGCCCATTCACATTGCTGCAAGTGGCAGAATTCCATTCATTTTATGGCTGAGTAAAATTCCATTGTATATATATTCTGCATCTTTCTCCACTTGTCTGTTGATGGCACTTGGGTTGATCCATGTCTCGTCTATTGTAAATAGTGCTGCTGTGAACATTGGGATGAATGTATCTTTTCAAATTAGTGTTTTCATTTTTTCCAGATATATACTCAGGAGTGGAAGTGCTGGCTCACATGGTAGTTCTATTTTTAGATTTTGAAGACTCTCCATAGTTTCCTATAGTGGCTGCACCAGTTTACACCCCCACCAACAGTGTACAAGGATTCCCATTTCTCCACATCCTCTCCAACGTGTGTTATTTGTAGACTTTTGATAACAGCCATCCTGACAGGTGTGAGGCACTGGATTCTCTAGCTAGAATAGTACTAGACAATAAAACTGCTTTAGATTAAATTTTATGTGTAGTAGCCAAAAGCTCCTGATATATATCTACATATCTATACCTGCATCTATATATATCACACCTGAAGTTAAAACCTGCTTAGATAAAGTTAGGCAACTGGCTACCTGGCTACAATAAATCTCCCCAGAAGTACCAGGTTCTGACTGATTTTCAGGCTTATTCTATTGAATTCCTCAGGATTCATAAGATCTCTTTCCCAAGGTTACTAAAGTTTAGGTTGTCACTCCACCTCCTACTTCTAATTGGGTCTCTTGCACCAAAACAATGGACCGGGGGACTAAGATTTTACTCATGTAAGACTCTGGTCCAAGACCTGGAACTCGGGAATATGTCCAGCTCAGTAGGCAACATTTCCAGTCCCTAGACTGAGGCAGAAAGTAGCCAGAGCAGTTGTCGCCTGTGCCCTCAAAGACATGGGGCAAGTTAAAACAGGAGTGGGGGTTGAAACCAAGGCCCCCTAAAGCCGAGTTCTCTTACTGAGTTTATATATATATTTTTTATTCTTTAATTTGGTAACTTTATTTTTTGAAGCATGTATTTTTTAACATTTTTTATTGATTTATAATCATTTTACAATGTTGTGTCAAATTCCAGTGTAGAGCACAATTTTTCAATTATACATGAACATACATATATTCATTGTCACATTCCTTTCTCTGTGAGCTACCATAAGATCTTGTATTTCCCTGTGCTATACAGTATAATCTTGTTTATCTATTCTACAATTTTGAAATCCTAGTCTATCTCTTCCCACCCTGAGTTTATAATGAATCGCTCTATCCAAAACTTTATCCCCTTTCTTGTCCCCTGTGACCTCAGTCCTGTGCCAGCTAAACACCAGTCAGATGACTGACAGCTGTTGTCGATAACATCCTTAATGTAATAGAATTGCTGCTGTAAACAGCATCACTAACATACAGACTCAGGTTGTTTCTCCAGGGCAAGATGAGCTTTCAGGCCCCAAGCCATGAACCACCCGGCCAGAAAGATCTTAAACCGGAGACGTCCTGACTCCTGAAACCACGATTAACAAACGTCACAAAACGGTGATTAATCCCAGCCTCTTCCCCCCCCCCCTTAAAACATCCCTAACTCAAAGACCAAGACGAAGTGGATCTGAGACTTGTCTCTCACTCCTCTGCTTGGCGCCCTGCAAATAACCATTACTCTGCTGCAAACGCCCACTTTCTGCACCGTGCGCACAGAAGCCCTTGCTGGGTTAGCGGGACAGAGGATGGAGATGGGGAGAGGAAATGGCACAGTCTCTGTAGGGCGAGCGGAGAGGGCTGGACCAAGAAAGATGAGGTAGGAGGAATGTCCCTGTGACAGAGGCGGGTCAGTGTTGAGGGCAGGCCTCCCCATTTTTATGGGCGGGGCCTTTGGCAGAGGTGGGGCTCCCGGCGACAAGATCGGGAAACACCAGCCTCAGAAGCCCGAAGAGGGGCAGTGGAAGTCGGGGGATACACTTCCCCACGTTCCTTCCGGTGACTCTCTTGTATTGGAACAAGCCTGCTCACCGTGCTGACAGAGCCTATGAAAACAGGCGTCAGAGGGGGTAAGCGACCGACCTAAATCACACGAGTCAAAAAGGCAAATGACAGGGCAGCGGGGAGCCTCCTGCCTGCCTGGGAGCGGCTTCACGTGAAGCGGTTGCCTGGATTTCCTGAACCGACCCAATGGCGCCCTGGTGAAGCACGCTCACCTGCCTTCCGCGGGACTCCACGGCCACACTCCCACCTGCTGACACTCCCGGCCAGCTCTCCAGTGAGAAGACTGGGGAACTAGATTATACTGGGATACTAGTGCCAGGGCAAAAGGCTGGCTCTGCAGGCCAGGCTGGGCATGAGAGGCCACGCACCAGGTTCCCTTCAAGCACCTTCTAAGCAGGAAATCATGGCAACTCTCGGCAAAGGATGTCTTTTTTTCTTGAAAATCATTATTCTGTCATTCTGACTCTCACAAGGCCCTCAAAGAGTCCCAACTCCCCCCTTGTGGGTGGACTGGCCTAGCAACTAGCCTTCAAAAGAATTCAGCAAAGGTGCTGGAAGATGCAGACATAACAATGCGATATGGTCCAGAAACCACCTTCGTGAGTTATGGGGTGTCCCACACAGCACTGAGGAAGAGCTCAAGGGATCTGATCTCAAAATACACGTTAAGGGTGTTAATCTGATGAAAAATGAGGGTAGACTTAGGACAAGTGTCCAAATTTCTATTGCAGTCATGGGCTTATCTCCTTTGTAAGATCCCTGAGGTTTTGCTAAAGGGTCTACATACTGAGCATATCTACATTTATTTCTGACACATGATGGGGAACGTTACGGAAACCCTTGTGCTATGCACTGCCACGCAGCGAAGGGCTGACCTGGCAGGTTTGGGGTGTTTGGACCCTGCACATTCCACAGAAAGGAAGGAAACTTCACTGGCACCTGGAAATGACCCTCTGAGCCCTTAAAGGTTCTTATCCTGCCTGGCCAGACTGTCTGGGTACCTGGGGTTTGGGCCATGCTGTATCATTCTGACCTTTAGGGGGCTGACATTTGAGAGGTTAAGATCAGTCACGTGATCTCTCCAGGCCGACATAACTCACCCCCAGTAAAAACCCTGCGCTAAAGCAGAGGTGAGTTTCCCTGGTGGCCAATAACCCCTGAGTGTTGTCATGTTATTGCTGGAAGAATTAAGCACGGTCCATACAACTCCACTGAGAGGACAACGGAAAGTATGGACCTGGTGTCTTCTAAATTCTGCCTTATGCTCCTTTTGCATTTGCTAATTTTTATTTGTAGCTTTTCACTATGATCAACTGTAATCATAGGTAGAGCAGCTTTTATGAGTTTAATGAGTGCTTTTAGAGAATAATCAGAAGTGAGGGTGGTCTTAAGGACCCGACACAACAACCTTCCTAAAACCTCTTTCTGATGTGAATTTATTGATGACTTTTAAGCCAAGCTTACTACAATTCAACCTACTAAGAGCCACTGATACTTAATGAAGTCTATCTTTCCATTACATTCATTGGCATCCTCTCTGTGAAAGTTTTCAACCACATAAAGAGCCGAAACTTTGATCAAAAGGCTTTTCCACACTTAATGTATCAAATCTTCCCTACATGTTTCCTGGGACATAAAATAAGATGTAACTGGTAACTGAAGGCACTACGACATTTACTGCGTTCATTAGGTTTCTCTCCTGGGCAAATCCCCTGTTATCTCCCGAGAGTGCACATCTGTCCACAGGCTGTCCCACCAGGACCACGTTCCCTTGGGCTAGGAACGCACTGATGTTTACTGACGTCGGGACTGCCATGGAAGGCACATCCACTGTCACTGTTTTAACAGAGTTTTTCTCCTGTGTGGATTCTGTGGTACGTGGGCTCTGATTCCCACAGGAATCACTTTCCACCTTGACTGAGTCTACGCCTTTCTCTTTCACATGAGTTTTCTTATGTTTCGTGAGGGAGGACTTGTGGAAGAAGGCTTTCCCACAGTTGCTGCATCCATGCGGTTTCTCTCCCGTATGGATTCTCTGATGTCTACTGAGGATTGCCTTCGTGGAGTAACCTTTCCCACAGTCACCACATTTATAGAGTTTCTCTTCTGTGTGGCCTCTCTGATGTCTAATGAGACTTGACTTCTGAAAGTAGGCTTTTCCACATTCACCACACACATAGGGAGGATTTCCGGTGTGAAACACCTGGTGTGCGACGAGACACGGCTTATGACTGAAGGCCTTCCCACAGTTACTGCACCTGTAGGGCTTCTCGCCAGTGTGAGTCCGCTGATGTATGAGGAAATTGCCCTTCTGGATGAAGCCTTTCCCACACTCGCTGCATGCATAGGGTTTCTCTCCTGTGTGGGTTTTCTGATGAACGAGGAGCTGAGACTTCCTGAAGAAAGCTTTCCCACACTCACTGCATCCGTGGGGTTTAATTCCTCTTTCAACCTGCACATGTATGTTGAGCTCTGCTTTCCGACAGAAGGCTTTACCACACTTAAGGCATTTATACGGCTTTTCTCCCGTATGAGTTCTCTGATGTACGGTGAGTTGAGACTTCTTGATGAAGGATTTGCCACATTCAACACATGCATGATGTTTCTTTCCTTTTTCCGTTTGATGGATCATGAGTTCTGGATTCGTGCTGGTCCTGTTTCCATACTTACTGCGTTTAATCCCAGTGTTACTTTTTTCATGCTTAGTATGAAGAAATGATTTCTCATATCTATTAATCTTACCAGATTTCTTCACAACACAGTTTTTATTCTGGTTAGTTAAATCTAAACTAGAGTTCAGTATGTTATCATGGCTTTGCCTTAACGTAACAAGATTTCTGTGCAGATGAAAAATATTTCCCGATGAACCATGTTCATGGCCTCTTTCCACATTTTTAAGCTTGTTTTGGATTTCCAAGTACCACTGCATATGATCATCAACTTCTCCAACTTCTAGGAAGAAAATTAATTCTCTCACAATCAGGTTATGTAATACAATCCTTCTAAAATGCCATGCTTTGGGCTGGCTCTTTGTGACAATTCTACTATCATATGAAAGAAATCATTCAGTGTAAATTTACCTCTTGAATGTGAAGGCAAACACAAATAAATAAAGCCATTAACATCCAAAAAAAATCAGCTGATACAGAATCAAAGGTAGATAATTTCCAATTAGGAAAATTTTTGCCACTCTCCAAAGAGATCCTTGCAAAACAGGCAAAGAGGATGAAGCAGAAATGTGTCTCATTATCACAAGATAAAGTAAGTCAGGGAGGCATTTGATCTAGCATGATGGAATATACCCATTCATTCCACCAATATTTATCAAATGTCTATTATATATCTTGCACTGTAATAGCATTTGAATACAAATGAAAGAAAAACACATTTTCTGCGTCTCACTGGGCAAAAGAGAACAAAATGGAAGCAGAGGAATAAGACACTGCAGCCTGAAAAGTGGTTCACAGATGTGAGGAACAATGGGAGCTGGTCAATTTTAAACAGGTAATCACCTGTGAGAAAGAAAAGTTCAGCCAAGACACCAGGAATAAAGATTTAGCAACCTCATGTAAAGAATTATAAGTTTTCATTCAGATAGAAGAGCAGTGCAAAGGCCCTGAGACAGAAAAGATTTGTGGCTAGATCAAGAAACAGAATAGTGGAAATACGAAAACAATTTTATGTATATATATGCATAAGTGGGACAATATGCTGTACATCAGGAACTGACACATTGTAACTGGCTCTACTTCAATAAACTTTTTTTAAAAAGAGAAATAGAAGAGTGGAATAACTATATATAGAGAGGGAAGAGTTGACATTCAAAAGGTAGACAGAAGTCCTATCACATAGATCTGGTAGGGAGAATCTGAATTTGATGCTAAGACTAGTGGCAAGCCTCTGGAAGTTTTGGGAAGGTCAGGTGTCATGTTCTGATTTACATTTCCAAAAGATTCCTGCCTGTCACATGGATAGTGATGGGACAGGAGGGAGTGGAGAAGGGAGGAAACAGGCAGTTAATGAAGTGATCCAGGAAGAGATGATGGTGGCTTGGTCTGGAGCAACAACAGTGTAGATGTGGAGAAGTGGATGGACTTAAGGCACGTCTAGGAGGAGGAAATGACAACAGTCAATGCTGAATTCAACGAGGGCTACACGTAAGAGGGAGGAATCGAGGGTTCTTCCTGGTGTTTGGCTTAAATGACTAGCAGTACCAGCTATGTTGTTGAGGAACATTAGGGAGATAGACTGGGGGTGGGCGGTGGTTGGTTTTTTATTGAAGTATAGTTGACTTAAAATGTTGCGTTAGTTTCAGGTGTTCAGCAAAGTGATGAGATAGATAGATAGATAGATAGATAGATAGATAGATAGATAGATAGATATAAAATATATATTTTCTCAGATTCTTTACCATTATAGGTCCATTACTAAATACTGAATATAGTTGCCTGCACTGTAGAGTAGGTCCTTGTTGTTTATTTATTTTATATATAGCAATGTGTATGTTAATCCCAAACTCATAATTTATCCCTCTCCCCCTTGGTAACCATAGTTTGTTTTCTATGTCTGTGAGTCTCTTTCAGCTTTGTAAATAAGTTCGTTTGTATCATCTCTTTTTTAACTGAAGTACAGGCACTTCACCGTGTTGTGTTAATTTCTGATGTACAGCATAGTGATTCAGTTACACATACCTATATTCCTTTTCATATTCTTTTTCATGATGGACTATTACAAGGTATTGAGTAGTTTCCCATGCTATACAGTAGGACCTTCTTGTTTATCTATTTTATACATAGTAGCTACTATCTGCAAATCCCAAACTTCCAATTTACCCCTCTGCCACCCCTTCTCCCCAGTAATCACAAGTTCTTTTGCTATGTCTTGATTCTGTTTCTGTCCATTTATGTCATTTTCTTAGATTCCACATATAAGTGATATCATACAGTATTTTTCTTTTCTCTTTCTGGCTTACTTCACTTTATATGAGGATCTCCAAATCCATCCATGTTGCTGCAAATGGCATTATTTCATTCTTTCTTATGGCTGAGTAGTATTCCATTTTATATGTATATAAAATGGACAGTTTCTTTACCCATTCATCTGTCAATGGACACTTAGGTTGCTTCCAGGTCTTGGCTAGTGTAAGACAGTGCTACTATGAACACTGGGGTGAGGAATTTTTCAAGTTAAAGTTTTCTCTGGATACATGTCTAGGAGTGCAATGGCTGGATCATAAGGTAACTCTATGTTTAGCTTTTTAAGGAACCTCCGTACTGTCCCTCATTGTGGCTGCACCAGTTAACATTCCTACCAACAGTATAGGAGAGTTCCCTTTTTTCCACACCCTCTCCAGCATTTACTGTTTGTGGAGTTTTGAACGCTGGCCATTCTGACTGGTGTAAGGTGATACCTCATTGTAGTTTTGATTTGCATTTCTCTGACCATTAGTGATATTGAGCATCTTTTCACATGACTGTTAGGGAGACAAACACTGAGTGTGGAAAATTTGAGTGTGTATTTTGACATCAACATTTTGAGACGGCTATTGGATATCTAAGTGCAGACATGAAGAACTCAATTGAAGACAGGAATCTGGAGACAATTTTGGCTAGGGGACAAACTTGGGGGTTACCTGCACAGGCTTAACTCAAAGATATCCCAGGTTCGGGTCCAGACCACCACAATAAACCAAACATCACAATATGGCTAGTCATGCAAATTTTTTTGTTTCCTAGTGCACATAAGATTTATATTTACACCATACCATGGCCTATTAAGTGTGCAATAGCATTATTTCTAAAACAGTGTACATGCCTTAATTAAAAATACTTTCTCACTAAAAAATGCTAACCATCATCTGAGCCTTCAGCGAGGTGCTGAAGTAACATCAAAGATCACGCATTACAAATCAACATAACAAATATAATAATATCAGGAAAAGTTAGAAATATTGCAAGAACTACCAAAATGTGACAACACAGAGACACGAAATTAGCAAATGGTGCTGATAGACTTGCTTGACGCAGGGTTGCCACAAACCTTCAATTTGTAAAAAAACAAAAACAAAAAAACACACACTCTCTGCAAAGCACAGAAAATGAGGTGTGTCTGTATCGAAATATTACCTAAACAGAAAAGACTAGATAAGGTCTCTTACAAAGAGTTAAAATAAAAAACAGAAAAATGATGGCCCACACTCAAGTCTTTATGCATTCCAACTTTTAGGGCTTTATGAGTGGAAATGCACAGAGAACGAGGAAGGGACAGACAGTGGCTCACAACAAGGGAAATGAGCAGCTAGAGGTATGAACTTGAAGCAAATTCTGACAGAGGCAGGTCAGAAGGCAAAATGTCTTTTGGTGGCCATCCTGCTTCTCAATCTAGTCTCTTATTAACTCAGCATGCTGCCACCACGTTAATCTTCCTAAAGGGCCCTTCTTAGCAGGTGGACATAGCCCAGTGGTAGAACCCATGCTCAGCATGCACAGGGTCCTGGGTTCAATCCCCGGTACCTCCATTAAACACAACAATGACAAAAACAAATGTCCACTCACATTTATCCTTCAGTCTAAGGTTAAACAATCTTTTAAAAACATAAGCCACACCATGTCACTCTTCTGCCCCAAACCATTCAATAACTCCATCACTGTGGGAAAAAAAATCCTAAGCCCTTAAAATGGCCTGCAACACCCTGCCTGGAGTGGGCCCCTGTCTCACCTCAGGTCCTATCACTTCCACTCTGGGTCACTCTGCTGGACCCAAGGTCCTCAAACGTGCCGGGTACACAGGCCTCAGGGCGGCCACTGCTGGGACGCTTTCCCCAGACCCACCCGGGGCTCATGCCTCACCCCACTCACCACCTTAGCAGAGCAGAGAGGCATTCCCTGTCCCTCGTGTATAAAACATCACCCTTCCCACTGCTTGACACTCATTGCCCCCGTGTTGTTCTTCACGGTTCCAATTACCATCAGAAAAGTTACCGTATTTATTGTGTACCTCCCCCAGTTAGAACGCACGCTCTATCAGAATAAGAACGTCATCTCTTCCATTCTCTGCTGTAACCACCTGAGATAAAGCACACTATACAGCAGCACATATGAGGCACTAAAAATACTTGTTGAGGGAATGAATCAATGAAACAATCATATGTACGTAAAGCTGACTTGGAATTTAGGGAATGGAGAGAAAATTCTATGTGAGCCTTGATCGCAGAGGGATTTAAACATTACATAGTTGGTAGCAGGGTTATAACCAGAACCTTTTAGACCAGGGAAATTAAACTGAGAGCAGCAACTAAGAGGAATCAAGAGAAATACGTGCTCCAGCAAATCAATGTGGAGTCAGCAAAGCAGGCGTGAGGTTGCGGTTTGACTTCAGGCAGAACCTATGACAGTGAAGTTTCTGGTTTTGTTTTTTCATTAGAGTGAACTCCTTTACTTCAGTGTATATGGGAGGTGTAATTTATTATGAAAATTACAATACTTACAGTTCTTCGCTTACCATTATAAGAATTTTCAAACATGCAAACTGAAGGGCTTATTCAGTGAACAGTCACATACCCACCTCTTTGATTCTAGAGTTAACATTTTGTTACATTTGCTTTATCTCCTATTTGCCCATCCAGAATGAGGAGATAGACAGATGCACATTCAAAGACAGAGTTGCCATGGGAACACAGCATCCAAGGATGGGTTGAATGTTAGCAAGGGAAATCAATACTACCTGAGGTTCACTAGTCAGAGGACAATGGTGAATCTGAAGTTCTCTCTTTGCAGAGGGGCATGGAAGAGTGATATTTCCAAAGCAAGGGAAGAGGAAGGAACAAGCAGTAGTACCATGGCAGTCAGTGAGGAAGGGGAAACGTGAGAATCCTCAGAAAGAAAAAAATCTAAGCAAATCAAATCAAGATCTGAGATGATTTAATCAGTATCATGTCCAGAGGTGCTAACACAGAAGTACTTTCCTCTAAATGTGTAAGCAATGCATGGTAACACAGGAGGGTGATACTCAGAGGCTCTGTTTAGATATTGTCAAAAGTTTAGAAGCAAGAAGATGAGCCACCTCAACGCTATTTAAAATATGTGAGGCCTTCATAAATCTATGAATTTACTTCCACTCTTTTCTACCTGGATGTTTCTCATTCACTCACCTGGTGAGTTCTGACCAGGGGTGTTTTCCTCTTCTAACCATGGCTGGTCTCCTTGCTTCAGTTTGAAGATTTCAGTTGGTTTGGAACTTTGCAACCCTGTTCATGAAAAATAACAGGATATTTATGAAAACACCTTTGGACATGCGATCTAAACATCGTGAAATGATACCTTTTACAGATTGTGCAACAGCACCTTGGAGAAGAGCTTTCCCCTAGGAGTAGGGAAAACATACCCCTCTGTCTGAGGCCCAAGAGGAAACTGAGACTACCACTTATAAAATCCAAGTCTTCTGTAGGAGTCAGCAAACTATGGTCTGTGGCTGTAACTAAGACATTACATTTTTACATTTTAAAAGTGTTATTTAAAAAAAGGAGGGGAGGGATATGTTAGGAGTTTGGGGTTAACAGATACACACTACCATGTATAAAACAGATAAACAACAGGGACCTACTGTATAGCACAGGGAACTATACTCAGTATCTTGTAATAGCCTATAATGGAAAAGGATCTGGAAAAGAATATATATATCTGTGTGTGTGTGTAACTGCATCACTTTGCTATACGTCTGAAACTAATACACTGTAAATTAACTACACTTCATTTAAAAAGTTATAAGATTTTTTAAATAAACAAAAAAATTAATAATATTATTACAAGATAACACTATTATGATTTAGAGTTAACATCAAGTCTTCTAATATCCAATCAGTACAATTCCCTAGATGTATTAGTAACAAATTCACTTCCTCTTTCAAAGCCACACTTAACTTTTAGACTCAGAAGCTACCACGTCTCTTTAACCTAAAGAGAAAGTTCAACACAATAAATGTACAGACACAAATATTTATTATTATTAGACCATTATATTTGCAGAGAAAAACCTAGAAAATTCAGCTTAAAATTGTACAAGTTATATTAAAGCAATGCAGTTAAATAGCACCAAACATTAAAATTAAAATTATGAAGAATGAATAAAGATATAGAGAAATATCAAAAAAAAAAAGCATTACAGAGACAGAAGGTAGCCCACATGGCCTGCAATGTTTACTATCTGGCCCTTCACCAAAAAGGTCTGACTTTCTGTTACATTATTCAACACTTCAGATACCCTCCAAAGCATTCCACGACTGAGGAAGACTGCTGACGCGGCACAGGGGGGCGGTCCTCACCCACGGACACCAGGTGGCTGTAGTTCTCCAGCATCACGTCTCGGTACAGGGCCTTCTGGTCGGGAGCCAGGAGCTGCCACTCCTCCCACGTGAAGTCCACGGCCACATCTTCAAATAATAGTGATCCCTGTAGTAACAAATTCTTCTTTAATGTAAGTGATTCTTAGTTTCTTTAATAATTCTTTTTTCAGTAGTTTTTTTCTGGTTTGTTTTTTAGGGGGTAGGTAACTGGGTTTGTTTATCTATTTATTTTACTGGAGGTACTGGGGATTGAACCCAGGACCTTGTGCATGCTAAGCACGCACACTACCACTGAGCTACACCCTCCCTCCCATAATCTGTGATTATTTAATGATTTGGAAGAGATGTACAGAAATCTACTCTAATCATTTCTATGCTATAGACTGTATCTATATATGCAGTTTACATCATATACTGGGGAAGAATGGGAATTCTTCTACAGACATCCTGCTGCTTTATTTCAGCCATCCATTCACTCACTAATTCAGAAGGTTTTCTGGAATGTGGTCATTAGAGCCTCTTGTTAACCTTGATAAGATCTGCCGTCTGTGTGTGTACGTGCACGCCCTGAACTACATGTGGATGGCATCAAAATGAACACTCGTGTTCTTGCCTTCAAGGAGCCTTCACTGTGCATGAGTTAAATAGAAACAGTAAGTTCTAGAATTAAACATGAAAACCCTGAAGATGCTGGGAATGTAAGACCCTGGGTATAAACTCTGTTTAATATGTAGAAAGGCAAAATAGAGAGTAGTAAAGATGAATGGGCTAACTTGAAACAGACGAATTCTCGAAACAAGAAATACAATCACTGAAACGAGAAATTTAACCTATCTCCTGACTACAAATTAGATACAACCAAGAGGGAACTGGTGAACTAGACAGCAGATCTGAAGTATGAAAGACAACAATGGAAAACACAACAGCGAGGCTGAGAGAGATGAAGGGACGAGTGAGAATGTTGAATTTACACCGATTCTGAGTTTGAGGGAAGAACAGGAAATTTGAGGGAAGGTAATAACCAAAGATGTAAGGGTGGAGAATATTTTAGAACTGGTCAATGACCCCAAACCTCGGGGTGAGGGAACCCAACAATTCCAAGTAAGATCAGGGAAAAGAGATCCATTCCTAGACACACAGAAGTAAAACTGCAAAACACCAAACTCAAAGGGAAAATTCCAAACTCTCCAGGAGGGGAACACATATACCTAACAAAAGAATAACAAATACGATTTAACGCCACTAAGCAATGATAGAGTCAGAAAAAGAATGGAATAGTAGGGGGAGGGTATAGCTCAGTGGCAGAGTGTGTGCTTAGCATGCACAAGGTCCTGGGTTCAATCCCCAGTACCTCCACTGAAAAATAAAATAAAATAAAAAATCAATTAAAAATACATGAAGAAGGGATTGCATTAAATCTGTAGATTGCCTTGGGCAGTGTGATCATTTTGTTAATATTGATTCTTCCAATCCAGAAGCATGGGATACCTTTCCATTTTTTAAAGTCGTCTTTAATTTCCTTCATCAATGGTTTACAGTTTTCTGTGTATAACTTTCACCTCCTTGGTTAGATTTATTTCTAGGTATTTTATTACTTTGGGTGCTATTTTAAAGGGGATTGTTTCTTTACTTTCTTTTTCTGTTGATTCATTGTTAGTGTAAAGAAATGCAACTGATTTTTGGACATTAATCTTGTAACCTGCTACCTTGCTGAATTCTTCGATCAGCTCTAGTAGTTTTTGTGTGGGCCATATGAGCCAGGAACCCCGCTCCTGGGCATATATCCAGAAGGAACCTTACTTCAAAATGACACCTGCACCCCATGTTCATAGCAGCACTATTTACAATAGCCAAGACATGAAAACAGCCTAAATGTCCATCAACAGATGACTGGATAAAGAAGAAGTAGTGTATATATATATACAATGGAATACTATTCAGCCATAAAAACCAACAACGTAACGCCATTTGCAGCAACATGGATGCTCCTGGAGAATGTCATTCTAAGTGAAGTAAGCCAGAAAGAGAAAGAAAAATACCATATGAGATTGCTCATATGTGGAATCTAAAAAAAACAACAACAAACAAACAAAGCATAAATACAAAACAGAAATAGACTCATAGACATAGAATACAAACTTCTGGTTGCCAAGGGGGGCGGGGGGTGGGAAGGGATAGACTGGGATTTCAAAACTGTAGAATAGATAAACAAGATTATACTGTATAGCACAGGAATATACACAAATGTTATGGTAGCTCACAGAGTAAAACGTGACAAT